AGATAATAATAGTTGTATATGATATTTTAGAAGTATCTAATCTAACTATCAACAAGTAAACAATATCAGATTAAGTAATGATGATTATATTGATCTTTTAAAGAAGTAAACTGTCTGTTCTTTTTTTGAAAAGTCATGGAAGAGAAAAAATTTCCAAAGTCTATATCCTATAAAAACCTTGCTGTTTCTTATATAGCTTCTGAGAGAAGAGAGTCCATTGACCAGAAAAGTGATGAAATGAAAGATGGAATATTGAAAAAAAAGAGAGACCTAAAAAGAAAAAATCTTCAGAAAGAAGGAAAAATCTTGCTTTGGCAAGAAAAAGGGAAAGAGACAAAAGAGAGGTAATAAATAAAAAAGAGTTTTGTAAAATAGAAGAAGAAAACAAGAAAAGAATGAGAAAAAAAAATATAGGAAAGGAGAAAGGGAGAAGAAAAGAAAAAAGCGAAGAAAGTAAATATCTCAAAAATTTCCCAAAAAAAAAAAAATTTTCAAGTATAAAAAGAAAAGTGGAAAAGAGTTTTATATGATAACTAAAAAACAATTTTTTTTATTTATATACTAGTGATATTAACAATAGTGATACCTTAATATGTTAGTTTCAATTTCTATCCAATAGAAAAAGTTAATAGCAATAGTTGATATCTAGAAAAATCTTGATATAGTTTAGTATACATTTATCAATTAATGTTATAGCATAGTTTATATACAGAAATGTATATAAATATATATAAATATTAATCTTAATAAGTTTGTTAAGCAAGATTTAACTAGTTTAAAAAAAATAAAAAATAAAAAAACAAAACATATAGAATTATTATAATATTATTTTGATTACTAAAATTACAATTTTAATTTGAACAAGTAAAATTAATTTAAAATATATAAATATATAAAAAAATTAATTAAATTAAAATAATCAATTTATTTATAATAAAAATAAATTTTTTTAATTTTCTTGTAATATTTATAATATATAATTTTTTCAAGAATATATTTTGTCAAAAGTCTTTATCTTAGCATAACTAATAAATTATTTTTATTCAAAAAATTTTATAAACTGAAAAATAATTTAACAAAAGAAAATAAAAATATTTACTGTTTTTAAAAATATTGTATTTACATTAATTTGAAATATTTTATATACCATCTTATTTGCAAAAACCTTTTCAATAACTTTGATCCTGTGCTATTAATAGATAGGTGAACTGGGTTGAGAAAGATTTATACAATGCATTTGTAATGGTTTTTAATAAGATTTAATAAATACATTATGCCAGCCTAATTGTGGATAAAAAAAAACTTAATTTTAATATCAATATAGAAGGTAGTCTTTCCTATTTTTGATGGATAATGAAAGCACGCAGTAAATAAATCAGATAGGACGTTGCAGCGGTCAATAGTATAACGTAATAGTCCGGAACTTTCTGGATAACCGCAGTATATTTCAAAAAACTATAAAAGTCACCTACTTTCTTCACCTACCAAAAAAAGACACTTAACGAGCTTTCATTACACTTTTCGCTTGCGCAAGACCTGACAAAAAAAAAATAATAAATCAAAATGGAACTTGATAACACCGAGAATGAAATCGACGAGGGGCTTTACTCTAGACAACTGTATTTATCATTTAAAAATAGTTTTCTTTTTAATTGAAAATTTCTTAACGGGCCTTTACCACAGTTATGTCCTTGGTCATGAAGCCATGAAAAGAATGGGGAGTTCCAATATTCTTATTATCGGTCTCAAAGGTCTTGGCGTTGAAATTGGTAAATAATTTCTTTGTATTATGATATTAATATTAAAAATAATCAACTAAGATTCGAATAAATGATACAAAATAAAGCCAAAAACATTGTACTTGCCGGTGTAAAGAGTGTTACTCTTTGCGATCCCGAGCCAGTTAAGATATCCGACTTATCAACGCAGGTTAGAAATTTTCTAAATAATACATGTATACTTTAATATAGTTTGAATATGTGTTAATTGTGACTTTCCTATCATTCCATAGTTCTTCCTTCGGGAGGAAGACATTGGAAAACCAAGAGATGCAGTGACTTCACCGCGACTGGCTGAACTTAATCAGTATGTCCCTGTGCATGTATTAGAAGGCGAATTAACAAATGACAAAATAAAGAATTATCAAGTACGATTTGTGTGTCTTACGCGTAACTCTAACGATTTCCATCAAGAATTTAAAAAGACTAATAATTACGCGTGTAAACCGAATTGAACTCCATTTTAGGTCGTTGTACTGACAGAGACCCCACTGAAAAAGCAATTGGAAATTAATGATTTCACACACGCTAACGGGATACACTTTATTTCAACTGATGTGCGCGGTCTTTTCGGGTAAATAGATAAGATTTTAAATTTAATGAACAACAACAATATGTAACGGTATATTAATATATTAATTGATGAATTAGCATGATGTTTAACGATCTTGGTGAGAACTTTGTTATTCATGACACAACTGGTGAGGAACCTTCGTCAGGAATGATTGCGGCAATATCAAAGGAGGCCGATGGTGTTGTCACGTGTCTCGATGATACGCGACACGGATTGGAAGATGGCGAATATGTGACTTTTAGTGAGATAAAGGGCATGGACGAATTGAATGGTTGTGAGCCGAGGAAGGTCAATGTGCTCGGTACGTGTTACATTTTTTTTTTTTTTGATCTTCAATTACAGTTCGATCGATTGATATTTACGAATTCATAGGTCCATATACTTTTAGCATTGGTGACACTTCTAATTTCGGAGAATATATTAGTGGTGGTGTTTTTGCACAAGTCAAACAACCTAAGACTATACACTTTGTAGGTTTATTTGAATAAGCGAGATATTTTTTTTCGCAAATGAGTAGATTTTTATTTAAAATTTTTGATCTTTGTAGAAACCTCTTCGAGAAGCTTTGAATAAGCCTGAATTTGTGATTTCTGACTTCGGAAAATGGGATCGACCAGGACAATTGCATTTAGGTTTTCAGGCGCTAAATGCATTCTCCGAAAATCACGGTTCATTACCTCGTCCATACAATGAACTTGACGCTGAGGAGGTTCTTCGAATTACTAAAGAGCTCAACGATCAAAATGAAGAAAAGGTATTTTTTTTTTAATAGTAATTAAGTGGATGTTTTTAAATTTATTTACAATTAAGTTTCTCTTTATTTGTAGGTGGATATTAATGATAAGCTTATAAAGCAGCTTGCATACGGTGCTCGTGGTGATTTGTCTCCAATTGTTGCAGTGATTGGAGGTCTAATTGCTCAAGAGATACTCAAGGCATGTAGTGGCAAATTCCACCCTGTCAATCAATATTTTTATTTTGACTCGTTGGAATCTCTTCCAGATAATGCTGTATCTCTTACGGAAGAGGACTGTTCTCCAGTAAGTTATTATATAAATATTTTTACTTGATGTTTATGAATTACAGGGACCCTGAGTATGTATGACTTTTGTCGAAACACTAGATCAACTCTCGTTACGATGGTCAAATAGCTGTTTTCGGTAAAGATTTTCAAGAAAAAATTGCTAACTTCAGGGAATTCTTGGTACGTTATGTTTTTGTATATGCTGCTTATTCCGTTATATGAACGAATGACTTATTTGCTATATAAAACAAAAAATCTTAGGTTGGGGCTGGTGCTATTGGTTGTGAGATGTTAAAGAATTGGGCTATGATGGGTTTGGGAACCGGCCCTAGAGGTGTTATCCACGTTACTGATATGGATACAATTGAGAAGAGTAATCTAAATCGACAATTCTTGTTTCGTCCTGCCGATGTGGGGGTATGTATTTTCTAATAATTGATAACATTAACGGCTATCGAAATTTGACTAAATAATTCTTTATTATAGAAACTAAAATCAGAGTGTGCTGCCTCAGCCATTTCGGTAATGAATCCTCATACAATTGGCAAAGTCATTGCTCATCAAGATCGTGTTGGTGTCGAAACAGAAAATGTGTATAGTGATGATTTCTTTGAGGCTTTGGATGGTGTTACCAATGCACTTGATAATGTTGAAGCTCGTGAGTATCATTATCTTATGTTTCAAATGCAATTATATTTATCATATTCATATTTATATATTTATGTTGTAGGTAAATATGTTGATAGACGTTGTGTATACTTTAGAAAACCTTTATTAGAATCAGGAACTTTAGGTACAAAGGGTAACACACAAGTTGTGATCCCTTACCTTACAGAATCCTATTCATCATCACAAGATCCTCCCGAGAAATCAATTCCAATCTGTACTTTAAAGAATTTTCCAAATATTATTGAACATACTATCCAATGGTCGCGTGACGTATTTGAAGGATTGTTCAAGATGCCAGCAGACAATGTTAACCTTTACTTAAGCCAACCTGATTTTATTGAGGCTACACTGAAACAAGGTGGTAACGCGAAGGAAATATTGGAGGGCATTAAAAGCTATCTGGTCACCAATAAACCTCTAGGATTTGATCAATGCGTCGAGTGGGCACGACTTAAGTTTGAGGAGCATTTTAATAACAATATTCAACAGTTGCTCTTCAATTTCCCGAAAGATTCGGTAAATATTAGCATTTATTTGTATTATAACGTTATAATAATTGGTATAATAACATTTTCTTTGTGAATAGGTTACATCATCTGGTACCAAGTTTTGGTCTGGTCCAAAAAGGGCACCTGACCCACTCATTTTTGATTTTAATGATGTAGGTTCATCTATTTTCTAATGATTATTTGTAAACAAATGTAAAAAAAATTAAATGAAATATTTTTATCCAATAGAACGCTCATCTGGAATTTATTGTAGCAGCTGCGAATTTGCATGCATTCAATTATGGTCTTAAGGGTAAGAATGAAATCAGTACCAAGCTTGTTGATTCATGTCTAATGATTCATTCAAATAAACAGGCAATCAGGATATTGCGTATATAAAGAACGTTCTAAATAATATCCAAGTACCGGAGTTTAAACCTAAATCTGGTATCAAGATCCAAGTACAGGAGAATGAAAACGTTCAACAAGCAACGGTGGGTGAGGATGAATTACAAGAAATAATCAAATCTTTACCGGAGCCATCATCATTGTCAGGATATCGGTTGAATCCTGTGGAATTCGAGAAAGATGATGATACAAATTTCCACATTGATTTCATTATGGCAGCTTCGAATTTACGAGCCATCAACTATGGCATCCAACCCGCAGATCGTCACAAAACTAAATTAATTGCCGGCAAAATTATACCCGCTATTGCTACAACCACTGCGTTAGTAACTGGCTTGGTTTGTCTGGAATTATATAAAATAATCGCAGGCAAGAAAAAATTGGAAGATTATAGGAATGGTTTCGTGAATCTTGCCTTGCCATTCTTTGGGTTCTCTGAACCTATCGCCATGCCAAAGCACAAAGTGAGTAGTTGTGTCCTATTTACAATTAATTATCACTAATTAGCATAGACTGAAAAATAATATTTCATTTGTCAAAATAGTATCATGATAAAGAATGGAGTCTATGGGATCGGTTTGACATCACGGGAGATCTTACTCTTCAAGAGTTCTTAAACTATTTTGCGACAGAACATGAATTAGAAGTAACAATGTTATCTTGTGGCGTAACCATGTTATACGCTTTCTTCTTACAAGGAAAGAAAAAGGAAGAACGTAAAAATATGAGGTAACCTATTTTTTATGATTGGAGATTTTCCTTACAATATTAATTAAACCTCAACCAAACTTCGACATTAGGTTATCCCAATTAGTAGAGTCGATTTCAAAAAAGCCAATTCCACCGCATGTCAAAGCACTCACTTTAGAAATGTGCGTGAACGATCGTGACGGAGAAGATGTTGAGGTAAATGGATTTTATTTTTACACAAACGTCAGCCCGAAAATGCTTACATTTCAATTTTTATTTAGGTTCCGTATGTGCGTCTTTGCATTAGATAAAAAAATTTCAAATAAACAGAATTTGTGTTCATATTTTGTGTGAAGAACGTTATAATTTATTTTGTATATAGTGAGTTTTAACGTTGTGTTCCACAAATAAAACTCTAATTACAATATACATTTGTGGCTAATTTAATATACACAAATGACTGGGCTCATGTGAATTCACAATAATATTTAACACGTTACCTTGATTTAAATAAAATCAACATTTGATGTTAATATATACAGTATATTATCAGATCGTATATCAAGTAATTGCCACTAATGTTTGTCATACATTTGTGTGAAATCAAAGGAAAGAAAAAGTTTAAAACTTAAGAATTTTCTGTTTATTTATGTCCAATGTACTGATTAATGTATTATTTTAGGGAGAAATTAACATTTTCAAACTCATGTTCTTTATTTTGCACTATTTAATACAGATATTGAAATCAATATTCTCAATGATATGGTCCAGTAGTATTATTATAAATAAAAAATAAAGTACAATTTTAAAAGATATATTTTATATAAAATTAATGAATAGTTTTCAACAAAAGTATATTTTTTATAATTGATTATAAATTAAAAAATTTTTCAAAAAAAGAATTTATAGTCTAATAATATAAGAAATATTATATGTGGAGTTGTTAAACAGATATGTATTTTATATTAAGAATAAATAAATTTCATAAATACTTGTTTGATTACAAAAAAAAAAATTATTTATTATATATTAAAATATTTTTTTAATTATAAAAAAAAAAATTATTGGATTAGCAGGTTTTAGGCAGGTTTAAACTAGTGGTAAGATTCCCCCCCCCTACAAAAGTCCCACCTGACATGTGGACACATTCCCGAGGTGTTTAAAATGGATACATAGTTAGGTAATAGTTGGCTTATGGGAAACCAGTACTACTGGAAATGGTAATTACTAGATAGCATTAATTTACATTCTAGAATAGCATATATGATAATATGATTTTTAATATATAGCAAAATCCTGCTTTGAAAGGTTTTAACAAAATTGAAATTTTTAGTAAATTATACTTTCAAAAACATTCTTTATCTATGATAAAAGTTTGAATATATATTAATATATTATAATTTGTTACAATCTCGTGCACAGTTTTTTTAATTTTATATGCTCAATATATAAATTTAAATTGATAATCATCAATATTTTCAAATAAGAATTTTGTCTCAGAACATAGTTTTGCTATGTACCAATTCATATAATTTTTAATTAATTTACTATGTTTTTAATAGTAATATGGTTTTTGAAAAATATCTAAATTTAATTTTACTATATATATATTTTTATTAAAAAAAATTTAATGCAAAGTTTATAATTACAGTCTATTTTCATCTAAGCTTTTTGACATTAATTAAAAATATAAAAAAAAAGTTCAAAATCTATATTATATCTCAAGTAGCATTTAATTATCTAGAGAAAATTGATTATCTAATTATATAAAATTATTATAACTATTATATATAGATTAATTTTTAAATCATAATTAAAATTAATATACTTACTTTTTAAATATAACTTAATATACAATAAATAAACATCAATTAGATAATTTACTTAAATAATTAAATAACTATTATTTTAGTTAGTAAAAATTGATCTTTTATTCAATTATTTAAAATTAATCTTTTTTATTTTTTTTGAAACTATTTTATATTAATCAAGTTTAAGTTAGAAAAATGATTTATATATAAAATTATATTATTTAAATATTTGAGTAAGAGTATAAGATAAAAAAAAATAAAAAATAAATTTAAATATAAAATAATAATTTATTAAAAAAAATATTGAATATAAAGTAAGATTAAAATTTCTTATAAATTTGTTATTTAATCTTATATAATAGATTTACATAATAACATTTCATATTATAACATGTAATATTTTATATTAAAAAAGTTATAAACAAGGCATTTGTTTATAATTAATAAAGGAAAACTTTATTAAATATAAAAGAAATCAGACAACTCTGTTATTTTCCAAAGAAAAATATGTTTCCTTATATATATGTTTTTCTAATATACAGTGTGATA